TCGTGTGGACCCAAACGAAGCCTTTAAGGTAATTTACAAGGTCCCACCAAACCACCCAAAGTCCCTGGGTCAACGTCTGCTGGCAATAGCCGAAGCAACCGCAATCCGATTGAAGAAACCGGTTTTATGTGCACAGAAGAATCTGGTGCAAGCCCCCAACTTGGCATGGCCAACGATTACTTAACTGGCTGCACATTTCCGCGCTCTGATTGGACCCCGCATGTAAAGAAAGACACACTATCGATTTGAATGTTCCTAATACCTTCTAGACGAATCTTTTAGTTGCAGAAAAAAGAAGTAGGAATCTCATTAAACATCAAATATATTCTCCAGACGACTCAGGCACGTTATGTACACTTGAAGGTCAATGTGGAATGTTCTTATTCAACAAAATCACACTAACACCATCTTGAACTAAGGTTTGAAAAGTATTCACTATTCGATACTGGCACGTTTTTTTGTAAAATTAATAAATAGTGCAGTTGACTGAATATGTATTTGAGAGGATGGCTGGAAAATTGGGGCAGTCCCACAGTAAGGTGACGAGCACACTTTTGAATGACCAGGGGAAAGATGCAGGTTGCAGAAGGAGTTGCATGAACAAGCTGTAGTCGTACAGGATGTACACAGGTCATTCTCCGAGTACCACCGAGGACCGATCAAATCCTCCTGCATTTGTGATCTGTTGTGACTTTTCTTCTTTTCTGGAGTCATCATTGCAGTGGGATTTTCTTGCGTCTGCTCATAAAACCCTTTGCCCGTTTGTAAAGTGTATGAATTTACGGAATTCATTGCGAGGTCTGAGTAAAGTTCTTTAATGGAGTTGCCACCATTATGCGTCCGTTGCCCTTCATGGGAACGAGCAGTCAAAGCCTTAAAGGAATTTGGCTGCTTCTGGTAGCCATTTACATCGTGGTCGACAGGCGGCATAACAAAATGCAAGTGCGACTGTTTGCCCATCATATTTTTCTCACTATATGGTATTCGAGATGCATGAAGGTTTAACTGGCGGGTTCCCTCCTTGCAGGGCGACTGGATAATCCTTCGTTCTTTCATTTCAAACGCTGGACCTTTGATTTCCCGTAGAAGACATTTTATGCGATTCTCTCCTTTCGTCGAATCAATGTTCATTAATTGCCTATCTTCTTGGAGCATGTTGCTCATGGCAGAATTCTCTGCAGAGGAGTCATGATATCGTACATTACGTTTACTGGCTGAGAAGGAACAGAGCATTCGACGGATTGCCAACGCAAAACGTTGGTTCAGCCAACAGTGGAATACAAACGTGCAATCGGTTTTCAGCGCCAGCGCTAGAATTATGAATGCTCGAAGGAGACTGTGGCCTCTGCTGGGAGTTGACAGAATACCCACCTTTCGGCAGGCAGAGTAGACAACAAAAGGACTCTGACAGGTAAAAAAGGCTCCGATAAGGCACAGGACTAAGACCGTCATACGCGCCTCCTCACGCACTGTACTTTTAAACTCAGCGCCACCACGGATACAATGCCGTTGCACAAATCGACTGGACATTCGCACCGCGTACAATAACCGAAAGCTTGCCAAGCAAAGAAAGAAGAATGGCAGTAAGAAGAAGATAATGAAATGCACTATCCATGCTTGTACACATTGAAAAATCTTCAGTGATAGTGGCCAGCGGTCTCGCAAGTAAATGTCCTGGCTGAACTGAGAGAGGTTTTGGAGCGACCGACGCCATTCTTTTGAATTATTAAGCAGCGTTGTTGGACTGCGAGCTGAGGTGACCGCACCGACTGTCCAGAATTCAGTTTGCTTAATATAAACGGAAGATTTCTTTAGGTTTTCTTCGTTTAATTAAAGTGCTGCAGGCTGAAGAGTATATTATTTACATAAATTCAAACTTAAAAGCATTAAACGTCGTTACAGACCGTTTGCATTCTTATAAGGAAATGTTTTGAAGCACACAGGTTCTATTAAGATATTTGAAGCCAAGCGTACTCCACTGACTACTCTATTTTTTTGGAAAGCAGCGAAGTTGACATCGGGACTATGAAAGTAGCCTCAGTGTGTATTCCCATTCATAATTTCCTTATAAACTATAAAAATAATAACTTAACGCAAGCGACTGAAACGAACAAATCGTTTGCCAACACAGTCTGCTTTAGGCGAGGCAGATAGCGGATATAATATCTTACAAAAGGTTAACCGAATTTTTGAACTGGGTTTTCGATTAGACAAACTTATTTAAGTAGAGTTGTAATATCAGTTTTCGCATAACATAATCCCAGGATATATCAGTTACTTAAGGCTTGCGGCTCCCAAAACAACTTCTTATCGGCTGCGTTAAGAAACGACGCCCATTACAAAATGACTACGGGGGCAGTACGCACATTTTTCATTTATTTTCAATGCCCTTGGCAATTAAAATCTATTTTATGGAAAATACACATGGAAATATTGTTTATTGGACGTCTTGCTTAAAAAAGAATGGCGTCTGTAAATTTTATATTCATGTAAATTTTTTGTTGTTGTACATAAACGTTCTAAATTTCTATATACTGTGAACCCTACCTGCTGTTACACCTGCATTCGGAGTATCTAAACTACATGAATGTTTAACGTTCATGATTAATCTCATAATTTTAAACATTGTAAACCGAGAGAAATCATTGTATCAGGTAGGAAATTTGAAAAAGCTTTACACTTCGCACAGCTTTACGTTTCTACCAAATGATTAAAATAATAAATGCTTTTGTGCACGTTTTACATTACATATTCGTGAATTTATAAGGATTTTAAATTAAAAAACTGCATGAAATTTCAATTACCAGTTTATGGCCAGTAAGGTTTTTCACGGCTGCCAGAATGTAGCTTTTTTAAAAAGCCGCTAGACCGATGTGACTGAAATATATTGGATTTATTCTGTATGGCACTTGATACAGCAAACCTGTTAAGGTAATACTGTTTTGTCGAAAATAAATTTTAGTTTTGTGGTTAACATTTAGTGAGGTAGTACATATACCGTCGACAGATTTCTACGCATATTTACGGTTTTTTTCCCAAGACTCCGTGGATAGCTTTGAGAGAGTGTAATTATTTTCTACGGATGGTAAATATTTGAAATGGAAATATGTGGTACTCATGTGGCTGACACATCTACAGAAATATCAAGCAATAATAAGAAGCTGTGTTTTCAATTTACTGTGGTAAACGCACTTACCTTGCTTTAGTCTGAGCCAAGAGCCCTTTTAAGACAATCATCCTCAGAGCAGGACAGAATAATGCTTACTCTTTAACGAATTATGTCCGTGCGTTTTACAACTTATTGTCGTATGCTGGTTTAAAACCAAGATAACAATGTTATGTTTTATAAGTTTTCAAACCACCGCAAAAGGAAGGTGACATATTTCGAGAATTCAGATTTAAAATTCAGTTTGTTGCTTTTGATTCTTTTTCAAAAAGACTTTGACTATGAAAATTAGTGGGTGTCACGGGCATCATTTACATTCTATAATGAATAACACATACTACTTGCATGCAACATTTTATGAAATGTGATATCTCTGTTTTTGCCTAGGTTGAGTAATGTGTTGCGAAGAATATTTTATAGTTTCTCTGTTTCCGTGTTTACATTATTTTTTAATCAACCCTTCCACATCACAACGAAATTTTTACCAAGATTATCCCTCAAGTATCTGTTACCGAAACCCGCCATGTAAACATTTGAAATTATCCGTTATAGTCTTCATTACATATTTTTTTAAATGTTATGAAAATTGAACTTTTACAATGCTAAAATTATTTTACATATGCCCTAATGGTTACCGGGACATTAATTCCAGTATCTCTGCAGTTTAGTTTAGGCTATATATTTTTCGTCAAATAAAACAATTTCTTAAGAAAAGGCAACCGCTATTCGTAAAAAAAACTGTCATATGATAATCTACGCACCTTTGAGCGTTGATGGCCAGTGGGGGCAGTTTTTGGAAATGCTGGTTGACCAACATTCGGGACTTTCACCGAAGAAAATGAAATTTTACCGAGTAATCACCAGTAATATATTTGAAATGGTCTTTGTAGAAGACGCCACATTCAATGAATAATAGTTTCTTGTAAAGTGGTAGACAAAAAAGGACTAGTGCCGAGCGCAAGTTTTCAAAACTCAAAATACCCGTCATATATAATAACCTTAAATTATCGATTTCATGCCCTTATGCCCCCACTGTCTAGGACTGCACAGTGGCTTTCTATGAACTAAACAAATAACTCGTGGTCTCCTTTCCCATCAAGATAGGTGAACAAATATTGTTCTGATACACGCATTACTTTTGCTTATTCAAGAGATCTCAGTCTAGCTTTTCAATCATGAATAGTAATTCCAATTTCGTTATTTAAGGCACATGACTAGGAATCACGTTGATCGATTTAATTTTCCGTTGAAAAATGTGTTTTTGTAGAACGAGAACTTGGCCACCTCGCTAAGATATTGAGAATAGTGATCGAGGTATTCTTGATGCTGACACGTTGTTCCAAAAAAACTACTGCTTGGATGAAAAAATGCCTATTTCGAACATTCATTGTGTTGTTCTCCATGTTATTGGCATCAGTCAACTCCACAGCCCTCTAAAGATACATTTTTAAACCTCAATCACTTTAAACGGACTCAGGTTCCTTGCGAGCCATACACAAAATATTGCGCGTCACTTTAAACAGATCTAAAACATGAATAAAGTTTAGTGCATTGGGCGCAAACTAAGGAAACTGATTTTTGCAATAAAACTTATGGTTCCAAAATATTTCCGGCTTTTTATTTTAATTACATATTCGCTTACCACTGCAATCAAAGAAAGCAAACAATATGGAGTAAGATAATCGCTCCCGTATTCTATTGTTTGCTAACGGGATATTTAGTCTGTCTTTCTGTGGACTCGTTTGCATCTGCACGCCGATAAAAATGAAGCATAGTGCGTCGCAGGGACACAAAATTGGCAACATTGAATGACATTAAGAAGGAGATGACACGATCGCTGGGACAATAATTTTATTCGCCTGACATTTCGAGATCCGTCGCGGATTCGTCATCAGAGGCATAATCAAAGAGCAGTAGCAGATGCGGGTAGCGTATGCGTAGCGATCGAGTCGTCTTCTTCTCAATTACTTCCTGGGACTCGCACTTTCTGATGAGCTCGAATGCTATCGCCAATACATGGGAAAATGCGTGTCGTATGAATTAACTGAGAAGAAGCAGATGCGATCTCTGGGACACTATTTTATTCCGCCTGACATTTCGGATTCCGTTGCGGATTCATCCACAGAGACAAAAGCGGATGGATCCTCGACGGAAACCAAAATGTTAGACGTATACAGTTTTGTCCCAGAAATCTCATTGGCTTCTTCTCTTTCTTGGTATGCTAGATTTAACTTGCGTGTTTTGAGAAACATCTTCGATAAAAAATCCCACCTAAGTCAAATGTAATGCCTACAATTTACTTTTTTCTTTTTTATCAGAAAGTAAGAGCTTTCATTAAAGACATTCGTTATTCCTTAATGAAAATTATTAAGTCCCTCCAGGGGTGATCTATTTCCGCTTATTTGGTATGGTGGGCCTAGCACATTATTGATTGCTATTCTTTGTGCGACGCTTGTGCAAACAGAGATGAAAACGCTTAATTGCATCCTATATTCAAGAGAGATTTTAGTTACGAACACGTTTGTGCAGTAAACGGACTGTTTAATCTGGAAAGCAATTCCGCAGTGTGATGTAGTTCTAAGGGTAATATAAATCAAACACAATTAATTTGCCGATTTTAATATAAGAATTTGGAATTTACCATATGTTATTTTACTCAGTCGGAAAATGGCAACTTCGAACAGTATAATTCATGACGGCCAAAATAATTAACGTCGTCCATGTCTTTGGAAGGAGCAGAACGCAATGTCTATGCCAAAATGTGATAAGTAGGCACATCTTACTTAAAGTATTCTGAAAACCGTAACAACGTCTGTTTACATTCTACTTCTCGGCTCTAATAATGTAGCCGTTAAGGGACATAAAAGGAAGCTAAACTTTACTCTGAGTATGTTTTTCGTGTCTGAATTATTCAAAATTCAACTATGGAGTAATTTATAATGACGAAGGTGTACAAAAACTGGTTTATGTTGTTAGCTCAGCGACCGACCTCATGCAAAGTATCTCCACCTTTTTTAACTGCTTTTGAGATTAGGAATGATTACTTCCGAGGAATTTTAATAGTTATTACATTGAAGCATAATATAAGGCTATGCCATACACATCAAGATGCTGGGGTCTGCATGGACATCTAGTTGACCTTTGGAAAAAATCTAATTCAATGAAAATGACTATTGAATGTGTAAACGTTCCAATTTAATTTTTGGTGTACCTACAAATGCAAACATATTTTATGAAAAAAGATAAATACTCTTTATTGTAGACATTTGATAACAATGGACGTCTTTTTCGAATTTTCGCAGAGTGTAGCTTTAGGTCTTATAAATACAGTTCTGCGAATCCTGCAAACAAAATTCAGAGCGAA